AAGTTACACCACACGTCATCAAGTTACTCGCAAAGTTACCCCGATAAGCCAGTAACCCCGCTTCGTAGTACAGGCCACAGCACTCTTTCTACTCTCCGTGCCTCGTCCAAGTGTAACAGTATCTCCCTTTGAGGTCCTCATTGCCCTTGGGCCTGGGGGGGGTGAAGAATGGTTGAGCGACCAATATCATTATTATTATTACTTTTTAGGGTATGTTATAGATTTAGGAATTGAAATATACATATATAAGGGTACGATCATGTGTGTGTATGCCACATATATATAATACTGATTTGTCACATTATTAATTATTATTATTATCACTGATGTTGTTATAATTTGTTGTTTGATGAGTGTTATGTTTCTTATGGTTGTTTGTATTCTGTATTCCCCTATACTTAATTTTTTTCCATCCCACCTACATTATTAGTGTTATTATTTCTGTATACCTTTTTCTTTTTTTCTCCCCGTCTCCCCATGGTGATTGATGTCTGTTATTGTTACGTTTGTTGTTTCTGTATCCCCCCCCGTTTTTCTTTTTTTTTTTCCTTTTTCCACGGTACCGGTGAGTTCGGAGCGGCCACACTCTTTGCTCTTGAATGTAATGTAAAATAAAGTTGTCCTCCAAAGAGGGGGGGTGGTGGTGGGCAATAAAAAAAAAAAAATTTTGGGACACCATAAACCCAGGAAGCACTGCCAGACACCAGAGACCGCACATTATACACAAACACTGGCAGCGTTAATCAATCCATCAATCCATTCATCTTTCAACAACTTATCCTGTTGAGGGGTACAAAGAACTTTAAACCCAATGATAATGTTGCATTTACTACCCTGAACACCACAGGCCTTAAGTGATACAGACGGACTGCAATATTAATATAACACCCAGCATTAACGTCTACCATGTCACCTACGGACCAAAAAGTGAGATGGCATGACACCTCTGTCTGACAGGCAAATACTGTAGTAACTTTACTTTTTCTCTTTTACTGGTGAAAGTTGGGAGGGGGGTGATGACAGAGGCTGATATGTGACAGACCATAGCACTGCTATGCTAATATTCAAGAAACACATTTTATATGCAATGAAAATCAGTTCTCAGAAGATAATGAAGGCTTCATCTAATAAAGCGTGGTCTTGAATGAAAAATAAATAAATAAATAAATAAATAAAATAATTAAATTAATAATGTTACCGATGTATGACTGAGAAAAAAAAAATAATTCCACTTGCAGCAAGTTTTAATTGCCGTTTGCTATAAATAATAGTGGGTAAATCCGTTATGTGATCTTTTGTTTATTCAATCAATGCTGAGCATAAGGTGCATAAAAATTGGGTGACCAATGAAGCCTTGTTTTTTTATTCCAGAAAGATGAGTGTTGACTAACATGAGTGTGGAGAATTTCAAAAATAACAAATGCACAATGAAAGTTGAAATATGTTCCAATTTTACCAAAATAGTATGATCTGTGCCTGAGTCAGGGTGTGTAGTATTGGTTGGGATGACAACCCTACATGCCATTAATGTCACAGTTAAATGGACCTACCTAATAATACTCTTTCAGTTTAATGGTAAACTTGTAGTTCAGTTCAAATGCCTATACAATGCATGCATGATATAGTATTTATTTAATGTGCCCATGACTCACAAAATGAAGCTTGCAAAATCCCTAAAATGTGCATATGATTTATTCTTTTCGTGCTCTCAATATGCTATTTCGAGCTCTCAGATTCATGAAGTTGTGCTCACGTTTTAGTTATTTGTGGCCAGGAGTTGGAATCTTGAGACTGTGGTCAAGACAATGACATATAGTTTTGAAGTGCACAAATACTAGTTGTAAATAAATTGTTACAGAATTAAAAGCCAACTTTATAAACATAAAACATAAAAAACTACCTAATATGTAAATGTGCAAATGGTAATTAAATTACCACAGAGCAAAGGTTTCATTTTTAAAAAAATACAGAAGAATAAATCTGGAATGGGAGACACTGTATTATAAAGGCTCAGACATGTATACACATGGTTATCACCATGTGCAGTATGAAACCATCCCTTATTTACCATTTGCACAAGTACATTGGAATGCTTCTCTTTCCCCATCATGCACTCCATGAGATGCATACAGGTGACATCAGACTTGGGGGGTTACAGTGCAGGGTCAGCCAGTGTGCAGTGCTCCAGGAGCTGAGGTTTAGGGCCTTACTCTGGGATCCATGGTCATGTGACCAAGGGCGTAACTTTGACTGGAACATTGGGGGGGTTGAGGTATACACCCATTACGGGAGAAAAATGATTACTGGGGGCGTTGTATTAGCTGGTTTTGATTTATTGGGGGGGCTACAACCCCCCTCCCGTAATTTACGCCCATGCATGTAACTACTCTGTTGAGGACATATGTTGAGCAGACAACCTTCCAATCACAGATACAGAGGCTCCCCTTGTGTTAAGAATTAGAAGACTCTTTAAAGTACAGTACAACAGTAAACTTGCATTATGCAAGTTATGCAAGTGATTCGAACATGTGAATTTGTTTGTACTTAAAATATTGATTTGCAATACTATTCAGCTCGGATCCGATAACTGTAAATATTAACAGTTCGTCCGGAAACAAAAACAGGAAGGAACGATTATTCCAACTAAAATGTTGAAAGCTCGAGAAAACACGACCAGCCACCTAGCGCACTACTACGCACACATGAACGCACGTGATGCTCTAGTGGATTCTCCTTGCCTTCCTTCATGTGACCATCCGGGTCCTCCACGATTAACCAATCAAAAAAGGGGGAGTGCACAAACGAATCACAAGTCAGGCGGTCACCTTTTTAGTTCGAAGAACATTTTTTTTGTAATATAAGCGGTAGAATTAATGTGTACCGTTCTCCATTGCCAGAAGATATATCATACTGTAGCGATTTGTATAGTATGTATAAATTGTGAAAAAAATGCGAATGGACAGTTAGCACACTAATGGAACGTGACTGAGGGGCACTGACGTCTGTAGAAATTCCGTCCATTCAGCGCACACTACAGTGCGCGTGACGCCCCTAGGCGTGGCCAGTGAATAATCCTGTTTCTAAAGCGGAGTCTGTTAACGTTGGACGTGTAGTTGCTAACGCCGTGACGGAATATTTTCCATTTAATATGAAGAGGAGCACCAAGATATCTACATTACGGATATAAAAAAAAACATCCCCGCAATCGTGTCTTCGTGATCGGGTGGAGCCGTAGAGTAAATCGTCAGCCGGTAGGGTTGAAAGCATTGTTGCGAAAAGGAAACAGTAATTCAGAGTAAACGGTCAGAAATACTGCGTAGGGTCTGAGCTGAACTACAGTCATTAGTAACGGTATTTTTAGGAGATTTTCCATATCTCGCATTTGAGTTTTTTTTATTCGACAAAGCAAGTTATACAACGATCGTTTTTGTGCGCCGCCCAGGCCCTAAAACCCGCCGTGTATTGGTCTTAAAGGGAATCACTCTGTTCACGTGTCCAAATGTTGCAGCTCTCCGCATACAAAAGCTTCAACACGATGGAGAAAGTCCTTCTGGAGCAGGGTTAAGTTCAACATTTTCGACCGGGGGCGTAATAATAGACGAGACACCTGTGAATTATTGCAGGGATTTTGGTGGCTGAGTTGTATTGTTCTTGTTAGACAGAGGTCAGAAGTTGCCACATAGGAGACTAGTTGACTGTACACCCTAGAAGGAATAGTTGCAGTAAGTAATGGTAGTAAACACGATCCACTGGTTCAGGAAGGGCTTACGGCTCCACGACAATCCTTCACTCAGAGAATCCATCCAGGGCGCGGACACCGTGCGCTGCGTTTACATCCTAGATCCGTGGTTTGCGGGGTCATCCAACGTTGGCATCAACAGGTGGAGGTAAGCGGGAGAAATCCTAATGGTTACACGATTGCATACTCGTTTATTTTTATATATAATATAGTCACGCCTTTTGACCCACATACTTTACCTTTTCACAGCTATCCATACTGGAATTACGCAGTAAATTGTTACATCATTAGTGAAGTTATATAGGCTGGTTGTATCGTTACTCTACTTGGCATGTGGGTGTTTTACAATTATGTATAAGTTTTATATTTAAATTGTAAAAAGTATTTATAATAGGCTTCAGGAGCTGGGCTTTATGATGCTTAAAGATGATGGTTAGGGTATTTCAGTCGGCCCTTTTGCGTCAGACTTGGCTCCTCAGATTATACAACATAACGGTGATCTGCATAATTTGCAGTGCCTGGGTCTTTTAGGGGGACTGGTCCTATTGTTTGTGAAACGATGTGCATTCGACAGCACTGCTTGAATCATGGATGCTTTGCCTAAAAAAGATTGGCCTTTCGACAGTTAATGTGTATTTACAAAATGGACGGTGTTCGCATGCCATTCTGCCTGCTGCTGTACTGTGATCTCATAACACAACAATGGCTGGCTTTGTGTCGAGAAACAATGAGTTGAAAAGGATATGGAGACTAGGACTGAACACCCCCCCGCCCCCCCAAGTACAACTTCTACTTTAGGCTTTTGACATGGATGTGACTAGGAGTAAGTAGGAGATATGAAGAAGAGGGCTATGATCTCATCCAAAAAAGCTCCACAAACTTTCACTTCCGTGATACTAAACGGCTTCGTGATGCAAGTGATTATCTAACCCTTGGACATAGGGGTCATTGCCAGTGTCACCTTGCACACTCCTTTGACAACCGCAGTTTATTAACCAAATGTCTGGTTTTCACAGCTTTCTTAATTTCACCTTATACGGTACACATCATGTTCTGGTACAACAAGCTTAGACAGATCCAGAGCTGTCCTTCTCCCCTAATCACTGTCTCCAGCTGGGAATCCTGGTGAGAACAGTGTGTCCTGCTCCCTGGGCAATCTGCCGCTCAATACGAATTAAAGTTTTGTGACCGGCTTCTTGGTCCGGGATTCTGTTCTCGATCCTGCAGTGATGTTGGCAGTTCTGCCAAACACGATTTCAGTCCAGGGCCAGGCTGTATGTAATGCATGACTTGAAACTAATGTTTGATTGACTCTGAACTGGTTACAGTTCTTTAGTTTCCACAAGACCGTAGCAATCATGCATGTCAGGGACATTGTTAGCCTATTAGAGGAAGAATGGGTGTGATACATTTAAATTCTGGCCTGGATAATATCTCCTCTCATCCTGGCATTGCATGCCATGAATTTCTGTTCATGGCAGTTGATAAATATAACCCAGACGATAACCAAAACGTGAACAGTCAGGCTTCTCCATTTCTGGATGCAATAGCAATTGCTTGACAATCAGCTGTTTAAGAGCTTTCTCGGCCTTGACCAAACCAGGTGCCTTGTGCTGAGAGGGTCTTCCTCTGTCCCACAATGTCTCTGCGAGACCTGCTGTCCCAGACATGCCAGGGCACACAGGGACACTTCCCGCTTTGTCAGCCAAGGGCTGATCCTGTCTAATAGCTCTGAAACTAACATATTAATAGCTTATCCCAGCCCCCTGTTTCACACTGTCCTGTGTCTATGTACTTACGTATTGTGAAACTCTCTGCTTGTCACTCATTGTATGCATGTGTAGTACCGAGGGTAACACATGCTGTAATTGTCTCTGTGCAGTAGTAGAGTGCAAATGGTGGGGAAGCTGCCTCACATACGTGTAGATGGGAGAGACACGTGGCAAATTTCCTAACGCCGCACTTCCTGTAACTGGGCAACGGAGCTCAAGTGCCGCCGTTATGCTCACTGCTTATAAGGCAGCGTTTTTTATTCATCCCTTTGGTGGCAGCATATCCGAGAACCACCTGGAGAGTCTTACCTTTCGTTATAGACTAGCATCCTGCAAACCCATGTTTTTCTCTTAGCAGTATATAAATGATTTTTGCACAGTGATGTTTTAATAAAACTTGTAAAAGACATCACATTTCAGGTGGATTATTTCAGTCTTTTTTCGTATCGTTCTTTACCGATCATAACCATAGTGTCCAGTATGTATAAACTTCTGATAGCACCACTACTCATTTTCTGAAATCCGTTTGTTGTCAGGTCTGATTTGGGTCTCTTTTTAATCAACGTCGACCCAGTTATCTTACATGGGATCATAACTTATGAAAATCTGTTAGCTTTCATTTATTGTAATATTAGATTGTCTCGGATTATTAGTTGCAATGATTCTCTCAACCTTAAAAAAACCAATTAAAAATAAAGCCAATGTGCCTCTTAATGACCCCCAACCTGATGTGCAGTAATGTCTCAAAAAAAGACCCAATCCATGAAGAGATTTGCAATCACTACACTTGTTACCACCAAGTTGGCTTGAATTCATGTCCTCTTTAATTCATGCATGGATGATATTAACCGGAGCTCTCATAGAGAAGTGCGTTGTTGTTAAGAGTAATGGAAGGAAACGGAAATGGGGAAGAGCAAAAAGACGATGGATAGAAAACGGCAGAAACTATCAATAGCATGGGAGCATTTTAACTTGAGATTAGTTTAAAATGTTATTCAGTGCAAACATAACCAAACATTTATTGTGTGAGTTCTCAAGTTGAAATGTGTGGAATGAAACGCATTTAATGACATTAAAATTTGGAAGGTTCCAAGCTGCTCACTCAGCAAAATTCTCATTCTGTCTGCTAGCACTAGTATGGTAAAAATATGAATATCTTAAAATATTGCTGAATACAGTGCCTCCTTAAACTGGGGGACCTAACTGTTACCAGCTAATTATGATCGCAGCAACAGATAACTGCTAACTACAAATGGGAATAGTATCTATTGCCATATTTTTAAATATTTAAATTTTTGTTCTGGACTGTCGTGTGGACAGCAGAGATGTGCAACAAACAGCAGATTTTAGTCTGAATAATATTTTATGTGCACATTTTAATACTACTACTATGATTTTTAACCTGACAGCCAATTTTCTTTATTCAAAGCGACTTAAATGCAGCAAAATTGTCTTTTTCAGTAAACCACATTTTTTTTTTTTTTTTACTGTTCAATAAACGTTTACCTTAGCAGTACAAATGCAATATGGCAGTTAGTGCACTGAACAGGAGTGGATTGCACTTAAAAAAAAAATGTGTTGTTTTAATTGAATTTGCAAGTTTGTGCCATAAAATTTTGGCTTCTGTGACATGAAACCACTATTTGCTTATTCAATTGCTCCAGTGAAACGTTCAGCTCCAGAAGAAAGTGAAAGTCAGCCAGATAGCAGCAAACTAGAAACGTCATTTTTTTCCCTGTTCCAGCTAATGATTATGAAGCTTTGTTGTAAGGTATGTGACTGTTGAGAAAGGTATTTGTGAAAATGTATTCTTGTAGAGAATGACATCCGGATTTGGGCATCAAAGACTGTATAGCTGAATGTCTGTGGAGCTTTTAGCTGCAGGAGGGTGTGGATATTGCCGTGGGGTGTGTTTTGAGAAGCTTACTGAAGCGGCGCAGCTTGAAACCTCGCCTTTCGTCGTGATTTCCTTCCAGTGACGTCCCCGTGCATTGCAGTTTAGGGAGGGGACTCCGGAGTGGCGGGGCTGCTCACTTACATAACAGGGTGATGTAAGTCTTTCCCTCCCTTCTGCTTTGATGGGGAAACTAGGGCACTGTGCTGACAGGTCTCAACAGCAGGTTTTATCACTGACCCACTTTTATCTCCTTGGGATGACCTCTGATTACCTCCCTCCACATCATCCTCTGTGCCAGGGACTGGAGAACACCCCCCCTCCCCAGCACCAGATGGATCCTTCTTTTATTCTGTATGTGAAACCTGCTATCTTGTACTTCAACCATACAAACCCGGTGGCATTTCCAGCTTTAATAATAATGAATTGCAGTACACTGTGTGCTGATGCTGGTCGACTACTGATGTTTCTATAGCGATCAAATGGAGATGAAATGCAAACTAGCATAGATGGGTAATGCTGAAGTTAGACAGAAAGGCTTTCTGCTCTAGCCATGAAGTTAGTTTTATAGATGTGAGGTAATTGGGCTTCCCACGGAGCTAATGTAACACCCCTGCATTTTTGTGAAATGGGAGCATTTTTTTTTGAGTGATCCTGTTTTGCCTAGTAGAGTATTAAATAGCTTATAGTACTGTAGTTCTACTTAAATCTGCCCTAACAGAACCTATGTTCTGTTACCACGCTGGGTCAAGCCCTTGTCTTGCATAAGTTTCACGTACACTGAGGATTGAGCTTGTGATGTTACATGAGTACATCATGACCCACTGCCCCAGACACAGCCTATGTGCTCCCACCTCGCCTTCTGTGTCCTGGTCTGTGCCAAATCCCTACCCCTCACCCTCCGCCGCTGTTATGGATAACATGTTGTTCAGACAGGACTTACCTCTGCCTGAAGTGTGACAGATGCTGACTGGGTGGTCACATGGTGTGGCATGTGTGTCCTCCAGTGGTAATATAAATGGTTACGGTCTGACCTATTGCAAGCGCTGTTGTGCTTCAGATTCCCGAAATATGTTAGCCGTCCAAACACTACAAAGAGTGGGTCTCCTCATTTATCTGGGTATAAAATTTTCCATACAGACCCTTACATAGAAAGGCCTGAAGCAGTTCAATGAGAAGCTGAATGTAATTTTTAATCACCGGATTAAGATCAAGAAAGGAAGAGGTTCTTCTGGATTCTCCGTTTTTGTACATCATTTACTCTGTTTCCTGCTGGTGGTTCTTGTTACTTATATGCATGGCTTGTCTGTTAGCTTTTATGTAGTGTTTGTATGGCTCTCATTCCTATAGTTAACTCGCACTTTTTACTAGTCACCCATTGCACGCTTAGCCTAGTAGCACTTGTACAGTACTGTGCAAAAACCTTAGGTTGTCAGAAAACATTTTTCAGTGTATATTTGTATATATAAATGACAATTTAACATAGGAACATATTCAAATGAAGAGTAACACAATAAAAACAAACAAGAACTTCTTGTTCTCCAAAACGTTGCTGATAGCTTGGCTGGAGGAGCACTGCTTCGGTTCCTAAACCTCTGCTCAGCGGCACCTCAGCCGGCTCACTTCATTCATTCATTAAGTAAATTATTTTTAAATGTCAGTGAAGTATTAATTAGGCATATGAGGTACGGTTGTGGTTGAGTCAAAAAATAGGATGATTGCTGCAAATACAGGGGTGACGGAGGGGATTAGAAACGGCTAAGCTAGCACACTCGCCCAGACATAATATCATAGTTTTACACCAACGTGAAGATAATTTAAACATCATTTTCTTCGACTGCCTAAAACTTTTGCACAATACTGTAACTACATGGGCCCCAATGTACTGAACAGTATTAACTGAGGCAAGTCACTCCCACTTCCCGATCTATGAAATTTCCCACTTCCACGCAATTTTTTAGCAGTTGTGCAGTACACCTGAGGCACATAGCTTTAACTACAAACTGCAGAAACATCATAAGGAAGAATACTGTGGAATCTCAGATGAAGACTGCACCGCTGCCTATACTATATGCCTATGTAGATTTAAATATTACTTAAAAGATCAGATTGAGACTCAAAATCAGCAGATATAAATATTGAATTGATCGGATCAGGACATCTCTAACTTTTTTCTTTAATTCAGGCTTCATTGTGTAGAACCTGTCCACTAAATAAGACTGAAGAGTACCTGTTTTTATTCTTAAGGTGTATTTGTGGCTAAATGTTTTATGTCACATCTGCACTCAACCATAAATGAGTTTATTCTTAACAAAAGTGTCTTATTGCAATTTTTAGGATTGGAGTAGAGGTGGGCGATAAATCGATTTTATCGATTACTTCGAATTTACAGTTCAGGGCGATGTGTTTTTATGAAAATCGATTTTATTACTTATTTTACACGCGAGCGCCAAAAGCGAAACTAATGCGAAGCACCGTTCTTCATGGGTAAATTAGTGCAGCGCACCCAAACACTGTAGCGGATTCACAAACAACATTAGAATTAGAATTAGAATTTAGTGATCAGTGGTCATTGTCAACACACCACAGCACACAATGCGCAACAACGAAATGTGACCTCTGCATTTGACCCATATGTGACTTTCGTGACATAGCAGGGGGCAGCTAATTCAGCGCCCGGGGAGCAGTGCTTGGGGACGATACCTTGCTCAGGGTACCTCAGTGGTGACTTGCTGGTGGGGGATTCGAACCTGCAATCTTTCAATTACAAGTGCGCTACCCTAACCATCAAGCCACCACTGCCACATGGCAATGGTTTGGTTTTGCGCCGTCACACACAGACTAAACAAGTACTCGTTGCAGAGTCTGTTTTAAAACTGTTGCAACCAAAGGAAGCAGCACGACAAATTTATTCCAGCACCTAAAGCAGAGGCACACAGCGGAGTGGGAGAAGTGCAGCTCCCAGCGAAATTAAAATAGCCGCAGCACCAGCACAACATCCAAAGTTAAGCAAGCAACCATCCCTGACACGTTTTCGAACTATGTGCCGTATGATAAGAATCGGGCACAGTGGAAGGCGATAACAAACGCTGTCGCGATGTATATTGCAAAAGGCATGGTGCCCATACATACTGTGGAAAAGCCGGGATTCATTAACATGCTAAAAGTTTTTACAAGTTTCTAAAAGTGTTTACAATGGCGTGGTCTTCCATCTCATTTACAAGCATCTTTTTTGGCTTGTCAGATTGCACTTTGTTTTTTTTTTCTTTTTGATCAACAATTTTTATTGAATTTTTGTAAGCAACAATACAATGAAATATCAGGCATTTCAGAAAACTTTCCCACCTCATGCAGACAATATGTATACATTATATATTGTAGTCCATTTACAGTCTCTTTTTGAGTGAAGGATTTTAGATAAAAAGCTTTCACAGTTTCCGGTTGAGCTCTGTTCAGTCTTGCAGTGGTGAGTTATTTTTTTATTTTATTTTTTTTACTTGAGAGTTAAAGTTAAAACTTGTTTTGAACCATGTATTTGTCATGGTTTGACATTTTGAGTAGGGGAGGGGAAAATAGATTAAAATCGAAAATCGGATTTATTGTGAAAAAAATCTGAAATTTTATTTTTAGGCCATATCGCCCAGCTCTAGATTGGAGTCTCTTCAGTTCAATTGTACCTCTGCAGTCATTTGTTTGAGTTTTTTTGGTTATGTTTTAATTTGGTGTTAATCTGGTTCTCAGTTGGTGTTTGTGATAAAACATTAACAGATTTTCTGGGGGAGGACACTGGGTTGTAGTATTTAGTAGAGATGGGTGATCCACATTTTTTCAGTCCAAGTTTAGGACTCCCAAATCATCCATTGCTCTTTTTGTCTTGCACAGTTGTGTGCGCTTTAAGTGGGATTGTCCATTAAACGCTATTTCCACGACTCAAAACTTAATTTTACAAAGATTGCAAATCGCTGTGCTACTGGTTTCTGTTAAAAGCGTCAAATACTCCCAGATCGTCACATCTTATCTTACGCTCCTCGTACTGCGAAGGGTATGCGCATGACATCACAGCAGGCGGAAGTCACTGTCCTCACACCCACTGAGTAGCAAAAAAGACTGAGGGGCAGCGATAGCGTTCGATTTGAATGCCGCAAAAAACACATGTAAAATGGGAAAGAGCTGTCGTGCGATTGATTGTACAAATAGATTTAATATGAAATTTATGAATTTGGAGATTACTAAAAACTAAATAAGTAAGTATAGGATGTGGATCGTTCACGCATGGCCGATACCCAATCCGTCAAATAGTATTTGTTATTTTTACTGAATAATAGTTCAGTTTTATTGATGCTTAACCTGCTTGCTCTATTTTCATGTATTCCCTTCCCAGCTTGTGACCTTAAATTTATATGTATATCCTTCCTTTTAAACACAGCTTATCAGTACAGGGTTGTTACAGGGACACAGGATTGGAGATTCCCCGGATGGCATTCCAGTCCACTGTAGGACTTCTCCTCTCTGCCGTTAAAACCCAGAAGCAGATCATTCAGAGCAGAGTTGATTACAGGATATTCAAGTGAATGATATAATTATACATATTAATCTGCAGCCCTGGAACACGGTGTACAGTTTTGCTCTGAAATAGTACAGTTATATGGCTGGTTGTTTCTTCTGAATTGACTCCCATTGTGTGTGTACTTCATGGCTTTGGTACAGCGCCTGCGGCCTTCCGATCGTATGTCTACGTGCTTAGCCAGAGGAGAGGAGGGTTATGGGGGGGGGGGTTCTGTTGTATGAAATGGCTTTCTGCCATTAAAGCTGAACACACCCAAAGCTGTCGTAAAGTCTTTGCATGTCCCTACCTCTTATCGTTCCATATGGACGTTTTTCCAAAAAAAAAAAACAGCTGTTTTTACACAGTCCTTGAGTGATGAGCCCATCTTAGTTATTGTGGAAATGACAAAGTTGCGGCTGGGGCTGGGTGTTCACTTGCGGTTTTACCTGCGCTCTTCCACGCCGTCCTCTGCCTGCGTGCGTCCCATCCCATCCTAGACTGCATGCCTGTAAGACTGGCATGTTCTCTCCTCTGGCCTGGCCAGCCCTGGTTAATTTTCACTGACTCATGCGTTTTATTTAATCTTTTTAATTTTTTTTTGGTGACGCACACGCTCCTGGATCATGGCCAGCCTTTGACGAGCGACCGTCTCTGGGAGGTAGTGGCCTGCGGCTGCCGCTTGGCTTCAGATTAGAGGAGCGCCTCAAACAGAGCACAGCAAATTAGCAGCTGTAGCGCCACCCACAGCATTTTATAACATACAACTGAATCCCATTGGTCTTGTGGGTAGTTTCATAACAAGTTACATTAATTTACACATACAGAACACCAACAGAAGACAATTCCCTTGTATTCTTCAGTGAAAAGGCAATGGGAGGTAGTGGGAGTGACTTGCCTCAGTTGATGCTGTTCATGGTTGGTCGCCCCCTGCTGGGTGCCAGGAGTGGTGACAAGCATTGGGCCTAGCTTGATCTGGGTTTCTAGGTCAGTTGACTCATGGTGGGATGATTCATTATTGCAATAGCTTTTTAAAGCCTCGGCTTAGTCTTTTCCTCGCAAAAAGAGGAGCATGTTCAGTGATGTGTGGTGTCATTATTACTCTTGTATAACCAGCATTCACTCAAACCAAAGGCTAGGTTCTCCTATTTAAAAAAAGATTCTTCACTTTGGAAGTTCTGATGCATTAGTAGTAAATAATACTTTTGAGTCCTAATATCCCTAAGCTGACTTTAAGCAGGTAACAAATCAGTCCTTCAGGAGAACTGAGACAGAATAACAAGGTTATTTTTTTTTGTACTCAGCACCAAACATCTCCATGGTGACGTGCCATTATTCAAGCTGTGTGTTACCGGTTTCTCCCTCATCCCACCCATGATTTGAGCGCTCTCATCTTCATTCAGAAATGTCCTCCACGTCACGGCCATCTCCTTGAGTACACCATGCCTCTCAGGCCCTGGAACATTCTGTACGATCCGGTTTCACTGCTCAGACTGGATCTTTGAACTTGGTACCATTTCAGCTATGCTTAGATTGAATTCAGAGGTCTTAAAGAGACAGAGCTGCGTCAAACAGGAGGGATAGTGAGGTATTCTTTGAGAGTTTCTGTGTGACATTATGGGAGACAGCTTGTGGAAGTACTGGGGTGGCTTGATTGGTTCGAAGTGGTGTTTTTTTTAACCCTCTCCTCCCCTGTTTTGCCTACCCTCCCAGGTTTTTACTGCAGTGTCTAGAGGACCTGGACACCAGCCTCCGTAAGCTCAACTCACGCCTGTTTGTCATCCGGGGCCAGCCGACTGATGTCTTCCCCAGGCTGTTTAAGGTGATGGGAGAGAGATTTCAGGGGTGTAGCTTAGTGGGTTTGGACATTGTGCATGTATTTGGAAGTTTGTCAGTTAAAATTTGTCAGGAACTGTTTAACCTCGCTCTCACACAAAAAATGTGCATCACTTTGGTTAAAAGCATCTACTGAATAAGTGTAATGTTATATAGTGGAATCGGTGGAATTGTCACAAATAATACTTTCAGAAAAGGTTCCAGATTTGGCTTGTTTAAATTTCGGCGCCCATGTTAAAATTCAGATATTGTTAGCTTTAGCAGACAAAAATTTTATCAGTTACTCATTTTTAAATAAAGATTTATGATTCTTGATTTGCCTTTTGTACATCAAAATAGAGGAATTCTTTCTCTTGCCATCCAGTCAGTAACGTAGTAGAATTTGATAGCGCAGACAACAAAGGTACTCGCAAAACATCAGCGTAGACAGTACTAGGAGCTGCAGAGAGATGTTTTCATGGAATAAATATGGAACAGATAGAAGAAATGGCTGAAGAATCAGAGGCTTTCTTTTCGATGTAATGTTTGTTTTGATTCCCGTCTCCCTTCAGGAATGGAACATTAGCCGCCTGTCGTACGAATACGACTCGGAGCCGTTTGGGAAGGAGCGCGACGCGGCCATCAGGAAGCTCGCCAGCGAGGCTGGAGTGGAGGTCACTGTGCGGATCTCACACACGCTCTACGATTTGGATAAGTGAGTTCAGTCGTAGTCCCGCCCCCTGTGGGCTGTGATTCGCTGGCATTGAAGGTGGATAATGCACTGACTTTCAGTATGTCATGTATAAACACATGTACACTCACTGACTAGTGTGAAATTTTATACTTGTACACATGTGGAAAAAAATCCTTTCTTCCACAACGACTAATCAGGCTGGTTTTGTTTAGTTTTGTAGGAAAAGAAACTGATTTACTGCTTAACTGCCATATGAACACAATAGTTCTTTCAGAAGATTGTGTGGTGTGGTGTCCTCCCCATATGAACACGGCAGTGCTGCATAATTATGGGTCAAAACAAGCTCTAATAAGAGAGTCAATGAGCAGACCGGTACAGTCTCCAGGAGGAGAAAGTCATGATCGCTCAAATTCAGTTCATTTTAGTTTTACAAACGATTCCAGGGAGTGATTCCGACAGTGAATAAAAATAAACAAACGGACCCTGGACGCCCAGAAGCTGTTTGCTAGGCCCCTCACCTGCCGAATCCCTGCGCAGGATCATCGAGCTGAATGGAGGGCAGTCGCCCCTGACCTACAAGCGCTTTCAGAGCCTGATCAGTTGCATGGAGGCGGTGGAGACTCCAGCGGAGCCCATCACGGCCGACGTTGTGGCCAAGTGCGCCACGCCCGTGTCAGACGACCATGACGACAAGTTTGGGGTGCCTTCCCTGGAGGAGCTTGGTGCGTATGGATCGTCTTCGAGCTGGAGCCTTGTTCTCGCCGTCTGTATTGATGCTAACCTTGGGCCTCCTTCCTGGCCCTGCAGGCTTTAACACGGAGGGTCTCTCCACGGCCGTGTGGCCAGGAGGGGAGACTGAGGCACTCACTCGGCTGGAGAGGCATCTAGAGAGAAAGGTGAGACTCCACAGGCTTGCTGGCCCCCGTTTGTATTGGCGTGGTTTCAGATCCCATGGCGGGTGGGACTACTGAGTGCTGTCAATCACTTCCTGCTGTCATCCAGTGGGAAGCAGTCATGTGACCAATGGTTGTGTATGTGACAGCAGAGGGCAGTCTCATTCACTGAACACCCTCACCTGTGTCATTGCTGACCATCATATACTGACACATAGCACAGTATAGTATCAATAGTGAGTAATATGCTAACTATCTGGCACAATTACAACTTCTTTAAACATAAATTGTCACCGTGGCTAATTGGAATTTCTGAGTTGTGTTTGTGTGTATGTGGATTATGTTTATATTACATTATGGGGACCAAATGTCCCCCACAATATAATAAAACTGTTTTTTTTTCTCTCATTGTGTGGACCATTTGTCAGGTTCCCACAAAGATCTGTGAATGCAATCAAAAAAGGCTATTTTGTTTGGTTACTTATGGTTAAGGTTAGGGCTGTGTAGGGGTTATGGTCGTTATGTTGGGATTAGAGTTTTCCTCATAGAAATGAATGGAGAGTCCCCACAAAGGTATAATTACATATGTGTGTCCTGTGATGGACTGGTGTTCCCTTGCCTTGTGTCCAGTGCTGCGTGGGATAGGCCCTGAGTGGGATAAATGCTTGGTAGATGACTGAATTATTGTAAACCTTGTATGACATTATAAAGAACAGCGTTTATAAAAATGGTTGTGTGCACTAAACTGATGAGCAAAGCAAGTTTATTTATATAACACAATTCAGACGCAATGAAATTCAAAGTGCTTTACAAAGGCAGAGGAATATTTTTAAATAAGACATTAAAATATATAGACACTGTTAATACAGCTGAATCATTACTGTTGTGCAGTTATGCATCAGTGTGCAGTCCTTACTGATTCAACATTGCCATCTGAAGGTCACAAGTGGAAGTTAAGAAACGTTTCTGTACCCTTAAGGGGTTGTTAAAATGTCTCACGTTTAATCCAGCAGCATATAAATGTCCCACAGCACCCAAAATGCAGTGGAGAGCTAGATCATCAATATTTGCAGCTTGCAGCTTTTGTGTTTGGTGTTTTATATCACCAGTTATTTCATTTTAGCTACAGTTTTACTGCTTAAGTATGTTCTAAATAAAGGGAGGGACTCACCTTTCCATCTGACTCCAGGATGATCCACCCATCACAAACTACTTATCCTGTGTAAGGTTGTGGGGGTGGGATTCTTAACACTAGTTGCCAGTTTCATTACAGATATCTTATTCCTTACTGTATGACCTGCACAAAGATAGTTGGCTTTACACTGTCTATCTGTGCCATATAAGGTTGTTGTTGTACTTATGGGAGAAATATGGGTGAAATCTTTTTAATACAGTTTGGTATTTTCTGTCACCATTGAGGATTTAGTTTCTTTACAATAACCTCCATTAATATCCTTAGTAAAGTTTCAAAAAGATAAATGCTTATTTTTGTGCATTTAATAAATGCAGCACGGTAAACCTCCAGGAAGCGCCATAAGGCCTGCTGCTTCAGCCCTGCTGAAGTGTGAACTGAGGTGGCTCTGCTCTGGGCTTTCCCCTCGCAGGCTTGGGTGGCCAACTTTGAGAGGCCTCGGATGAATGCCAACTCCCTGCTGGCCAGCCCCACCGGCCTCAGCCCCTACCTCCGCTTCGGCTGTCTCTCCTGTCGCCTCTTCTACTTCAAGCTGACTGACCTCTACAAGAAGGTATGTTGTGGGATGCTGTGTGAACTCCAGGGGGCGCCTTATCCACAGGCACATCACTGCATGAACATCTGTCTCGGATGTATTAAAATTGGATGAGAGGGGGATATAAGGCTCTCGAAGGAACAAACAGGCACGCTTAGGTTCACTCGAAAAAACACTAATAAGAAGTACAAAATAACCTCGCATTAACATCAATACCAAGCTATCGTATCGAATGTAATACAAAATAACCTCGTACTACAAGGGATATAGAATCATATATATATCATACGAACGATTATATATAGAAAAGAAACAATAAAATATAGAAAATGCTAATTTTTATCACGAGAATTGATAATCAATCCCCGTAATCAATTAAATGCATAAGCAGCTGCAAAACTATTTACACTCGGACGTGCCATCATCACCCACCTTCACCCACGGACTGGGGAGCCCTTTTCAGTCCTGGAAGTGAGTCCCAAGAAAGTACCGGGCGATGCGCGCTTTATCCCACGGCTGAGCTCCGGTCAACACTGAGATCTCCCCCTTCCTTTATACTAAATTTAGTGTTGCATGCGGGCAGGGGGTAAGCTGGCCAGGCTCACCCCTTCCCCCCAGGCAATATGTACTCCAATTCCCCCTTTTGTCCGAGTGATGCTGCTTGCTATAATATAGTAAGATAGGCGTCCTTGCGCCTGATGTCCTTAATTGCGCCATGCCTCCCTACCCCCCAAAAGGCAATATAGGGTGTTGTCCCCCGAAACCAAGATAAGCATCCTGCATGCCGATCTAACGGCCCAGATTTGCATCCTGGCTTCTTTTTATTTGTTATTTATGGTGAAATAGGTTTTTTTTTTACAGGGGATCGGTAAATAACATGTTCGTGCAGTTTGGTAACATTCGGGGTGAATGGAATGACCCTTTATTGCTGTTGCAATACACCATGTCACTAGTCACAAGTACCAGCGAAAAACTGGCCATCAACCCGACCATACATATACAAACATCACATTATAGGGGGTAGACAGGTCAGGAAGACGGGGGATATAGGAAGAACAGAGAAAACAGAATTACATGAGGAGAGAAGAGGCGAATAAAAAAAAAAAACAGCCCCCAGACTGTACTCCAGTAGGGAGTATAATGTAGGAACAGAAAAAAACACCTCAGCAATTATGGACGATTGATCTGAATTTCAGGATGATCAGTCCACACGCTTTCAGAATTAATCCACAATTACAACTTCCCATTATAATAAAAGGATTAATTCCATTCCACGTGGGTGATGTAATCGTCCGTGAATTCATCCTAATACACTCGGATTACCTGCTAATGCTAATGACATCACATTAAAAATGTTTCCTTTGCCTTTAATCATGTCTGCCTGGTATTATCCACTGGGTGTGGTGTTCAAACTGTCCGCTAAATACTGAGAAACAGTCTAGTCGTCATCCTGAAATTGAAGCTTGGGACTGGATGTCCACAACTGTAGTCTCTGTACTCGAGCCAATGAGTCGAGGCTCAGACCATCTGTGCTCTGTGTCGCAGGTGAAGAAGAACAGTTCCCCCCCACTGTCTCTCTACGGCCAACTGCTGTGGCGTGAGTTCTTCTATGCCGCTGCCACCAACAACCCGCGCTTCGACAAGATGGAGGGAAACCCCATCTGCGTGCAGATTCCTTGGGACCGCAACCCCGAGGCCCTGGCCAAGTGGGCTGAGGGGCGCACCGGCTTCCCCTGGATCGATGCCATTATGACCCAGCTGCGTCAGGAGGGCTGGATTCACCACCTGGCCCGGCACGCTGTGGCCTGCTTCCTGACCCGGGGGGACCTGTGGATCAGCTGGGAAGAGGGCATGAAGGTACGAGAGAGGGGAGTGGGGAGAGGGCTTATGATTGAAGTCAAGGTAACAGAGGATGGAGGCCAAAAGGTTGCAGGATACAGAGCTGAACGTTGATTAGAGCATGAACACAGTAACTAGATGTGGCTGCCAGTGTTGCTTAACTGCTACATGAACATCTTGTCCTACCAAGGTGTTTGAGGAGCTGTGCGATGTTGATTGGAGTATGAATGCAGTAACCGGATGTCTCTATCAGTGGCTAACCAAACACCCCCTTTTCCCAAGGTGTTCGAGGAGCTGCTGCTGGATGCCGACTGGAGCGTGAACGCGGGAAGCTGGATGTGGCTCTCCTGCAGCTCCTTCTTTCAGCAGTTCTTCCACTGCTACTGCCCCGTGGGCTTCGGCCGCCGCACTGACCCCAACGGTGACTACATCAGGTCAGCAGCTCCACCAGTCTCTCTTCTCTTCGGGTTTGGTTATGGCTCTTCTTACTATGTGACATGTACTGGTGCGCACACCTACATACATGTCTACGACATGAAAAGTCGAACTTTACTGTGAAATAGCCTATAGTTTGATTTTCTTTTAAGTCATCACATTCAATGTGAAATCATATTTCATAATAATGACTGTATTGAAAATCACAACATTATTATGAAATACAGTTTAAAGATTATACGTAGAAGACAAACATTATGAAATATATTACCTTTAGGAATTATTTAGAAATTAAAGGACACATTAATTATTTACATATATATTTATTTATTTTTATAGATAATTTAATTTCATTTTGAGTATTATGGTGTTCCATACAAATATTTTAGACAGTTTGGTTACCCTGAAATGCGCAAAGAGCTTTTGATTTCTTCTCCTACTTTTAATGCGTGGCAGATTCTGCATACGGAAGTGATTTGCGTACTTATCTAAAGTTGTGGGAAAGTGAGATCCGATTACAAGTGGAGATGCATGTAAATGCCAGGTGTGAACAGAGCCTTTATTGATGAGGAATCTGGCCACTGAAGAAGCAGGACAGGAAGAGTATTGATGACTCTGAACTTTGTTCCTGGTGTAAGCTTTTAAGGATACCTTGTACCACAAGGTATAGCCAAACCAAGACTGAACTGTCACTTGAAACCCCAATGGTCAGATTGAAACGCATATTCTGGGGACTTTATGAGAAGACCTATTTATTTGGAAGAGACCATAATGCTTGGAAAAGTTAAAGGTAGAAAAAGAAGAGGATGAGCAGCAATGAGATGGATGGGCTCGAACGTAAGTCAATGTATATGACATGGGGAAACATGAATAGTCCTGGTGGAATTCTGTCTATATGGTCTCTGAGAGTCAACATCAAGTCTTGGATTAACAAATCTGCAGGCCCATACTTCACCAACGCATGAATCAGTTGTAATTAAAACAGTCTTTTATGAATGTGTGCTTCCGCCTGTCTGTAGACGCTACCTGCCAGTCCTGAGAGGCTTCCCTGCAAAGTACATCTACGACCCCTGGAATGCCCCTGAGGGCGTGCAGAAGATGGCCAAGTGCATCATTGGCGTGCACTACCCCAAACCCATGGTGCATCACGCGGAGGCCAGCCGGCTCAACATTGAGCGCATGAAGCAGATTTACCAGCAGCTGTCCTGCTACCGTGGCCTGGGTGAGTTCTGGAGCCACTCTCAGAGCTGGGAGGAGACTCTTATGCTGAAACATCACTGCTTTGTAGGAAGAATATGGAGATGCCAGATTCTCCCACCTCTATAGTCCAGTATCTGGATGTGTGTGAGAGAAAGATCTCTGGAATGCGTGTATGGACTTCTGCTTCAGGGATAGTTTGTGATGATACAGATGCCATGATGACCGTGCCTAGTCAATGAGGAGTTGTAAGGACATAGTGTTAGAATACCTGGGATAATGGACCGAATGAGACTTAGTCCCTTCTAATCATTACGCTGGTGGCTCTGACTGGGCGCATCTCCCCCTCCCCTCTTCAGGGCTCCTGGCGACGGTTCCCTCCACTCCCAGTGGTGGCAACGATGAGGCCGGTGCTGCCATGGGGTTTCCCCTCCGCGAGGGAGCTCAGGACAGCGCTGCTCATGCCGGTATGTGGAGCTTCCAGCTAGACCTTAGGTGTAACTGAGTTTCTGCAATGTTCTCTGTGGACCAACACCTTCCCCGTCTGGTCAGATGGTACCTGATCAGGCCATCAGACCTGCATGAGTTGGTGGACTGGGCACAGATACACTGTGTGTTTTCCTGTGATAAGGTATAAAGGGGAGATGTGGCTTAAGGGTGTGGAATGAAATCCACATGGCAGCATTTACATGGTGCTTTGTGTGTCTGTGTTTATAGGGTACCAGGTGCCTGTAAACCCTGCAGGAGACTGGTGTGCTGGCATGCTACCGCCCCCCCAGGGAGATAACAAGCCGGGCAGCAGCAGCATGGCGCAGCAAAGTGTGTGCAATGTAACACCCCTCCGTACACCTCCTACCATTGGGTCATAAGAGAACACTGGCTGGTTTGGGCAGGGTGGAGGGGGCGGGGGGACAGTCAGTTTAAAGATCTATAAAGCCTTGGCCAAATGTCAGAACTCAGACCCCCTGCAGTGCTGTTCCTGTACAGATAGCCCCAAACCACAGCCGTGTTCATTTTGTGTGTCATTATTTTTCTGAATCCGTTTCCTGTCTGTCTCTCCGCAGATGTTCCTGCAGGACTCAGCATGTGTTACAATCAGGAGCGTCCACAATCACAGACGGCCGGGTCGCAGCCCGGTGAGGATCTCCGCCCATTCCATATTAGTCCCTGTATTGTTACCAGCAATATTAAGTGATTCTTCTGTGACCCCCCCCCCCACCCCACCAGGACGTGGTCAGC